ATAAGTTATGTCGATATTCCTACCGAATTTCATTGCGCTAAAAGCGAAAATATATTATAAAGTCATTGCGCTGGACATTCTGTTAGTACTTACCGGGTCCTATTTCGTATCCATGTCGAATAGCATTCCGTCATCCAGACTCCCCAGATTCGTCCGGTACAGTGAACACTCAGAACGCATACGAACAGCACCCAACACGGGAACGTCGCTTCCTCTCCCAGATTGTTAATGGTGACCAGTACCAGCATTCGCGATACCCAAACTAAAGGCAGAGCGCATACAGCCAGCCACAACCAGACAAAGCAGGCAAAATTGGCTCCCAACAGGACTAAGTGGAGCAGTAAAAAGACAATCCGCGGAACGTTTGGGTCTTTATAATCGGCCCAGTAATCCTGCCGGTTCCGGGTCGTAGCCGAAGAACGCTGTGATGCGCTGGCAGTACGGGAGATGCTGGGTGAATCGCGGAATCGCCAGTGACGGTTGACGAAGAGGACAGCCACGGACACAAGATAGCCGTTGTGCAGATAGCAGCGAAGGTTGCCACGTAGCCGACAACAGCACGAGTTGTACTGGTGACGACGCCTGTGGTCTCATCAGATGCGGTTGTTATGGAGCGGACTGTTTCCAGGTAGAAACCATGCTGTCCCAGAAGCATCCATTTTCTCCTGAACAATAACAACCAGCAAAATTTTCCGCTATGCCATTTTACCTATTCTAATTCGTAACACTGTACTGGCGTGTTACGAATTAGCAAGATTTGAATTAGATTTCCAGATAATTATAAAAAAATTATTGCATGGGTGAATGTCGTCTTTGTGAATAAAAATATCGACATATTTATTATTTATGCTCACATTAACGAGACGCAGAAGATTCTTTCCCGTTTCCGACATTCTGCTAGGATCAACGCGTGTTGTTCGCCATTGCGGATAGATTCGGGTACCCAACTTGGCAGAGATTTCGCAAGCAATCCACAGAACAACCAGGGCTTCCACCATAATTTCCTGATATGCCCATTTACGGTTATTATCCAGACGTTGTCTAAGAGTTCTACGATATTTCCTCATTTTAACCAACGCGGTTATAGCGCGATGAACCTTTTTAAACTTGCAATTATCACATCGATCTATACTAGACTAGAGCCGGGTCATGATTTATAGCGCTGTTGTAGCGTATTGATGCAGCGACACTGATGGTAGCTTGTGACTGATGCCTCCCGGGAGCATTTCACTGTGATTGCAAAACATCGGGATAACCAGGTAGGAAAATCTGCTCTGGGAATTAAATCACTGCTGCACGCACAATGAGGCAGATCAATACGGACAGATTTACATTAACGTGCACCCGCATGCAGTTCGGACGTCATTCGCGAAATGTCAGCGCACTAGCACATTACCCAGCCAGTTTCCCTTCTGTATATTGCTCAATGAGCCTGTTTCACGGTCCAGTAAAAACTCGGCTTGCAGTGTTCCTGTTTTTGCAGTAAGCCGGTGCCATCACGATTTCTCATCCAATGTTCGGTTCTAAGTTTTTACCCGCGCGAACATTTACATAATGATGGTAAAATTTATGATGAGCTGTATGGTCGATAGGATAATTAAGTTATACATATGATCGAAGTGCACTCGCTGTACAAATCTTTTCCTAGCAGACTGTATTGCTTGATAAAGTGTCGTCTGGCAATCATTAATTCAAGCCGCCGCTGTAATCTAGCTCACAAAAAAAAACCAGCTGAAATGTTTTTATTACTCGTGTTCCATACGACGTCTACTGGAACACGAATTTCCCACGCTGCAGTTAGGTAAGCACTGAAAATTCAAATTTCTTTACGCGAACACATAATATGAAATGGATATTATTTTGAATCGATTAACATGGGCCAAGTAAAACTTTACAACACCATTGTATTTTTTAACATAACGTAATGGTTAATACAAATATTGCGATTTTGTAATATGGGGTGTTTGTCCGGCATTAAGAGAAAATACGTATCTGAAGCTATCTAATACAAGGTACGCAGGCATTAGCGCGGCGTAGTATCAGTGAACGTACAAGCGAAAGCAAACAGGTTTCAGGACAGAGGCGAAAATACATCGTAATGAGAAAATGAGACTATATTCCGCTGAAATCGCTCTTTACGCCGGGACCTGTGGGCCAACGGGGCAAGCGAGATTCAAAATGATGCGGGATCCAGCGTCAGATTTTCGTTTTCGCCTTTCGTTTTGTATTCGCTCTCATTGTCTGCACGTTTTACCGCGGCTTCGTCAGCTTTCTTCTCTTTCAAATTCCGCCGTATTACGCTGCTGAACTCCCAGTACCTCCACAGCATGTACACCGTTAGCAGTAGCAGCACACCAGGTAGCTGAACGCGTTCCGGCAGAAAGAACGCCACCACGGTGAAGGGCATAGTTTGCCAGCATAGAAACGGTCGTAAAATGATAATGCCGGCGCACTGGAGAGACGCCCACAATGAGCACACGCAGAACGGCCGGCAGGCGCTCTTCCTGGCACAATCGATCGCTGTATCTGCAGCTTTCATATCTACCAATACAAATTCCATCAGCGCCGGCAGCGCCGCCTGCTGACCAGTGCGGCTAATTTGCTGTTCATCAGTTTCTTCCTCTGACGCGGGAAGATTCGCTAGCGTATTATCCTTGATGGATAACTGTGATCCCTCAACGCTGTCAGTGGCATTGCTGCCATTTGCGTCCGCTACTTCAATGTCATCTACGGTTGCACCGCAATAGTATTCTTCCCCGCATTCCGAACAAATATGATCAGGCTGGCCGGGAGCACCTATGGCCCGTCTCAGATCGTCCGCTTCAGGATCGAACCAGTGGCCGTTACTGTAAAACGTCAATACATTGCAGTACCATCACACATTTTGAAACCCGCTTTCCAAACATGTTTGGTGCTGCCCAGCTGCCTTTCGTTACTATCTTCAACTTTGTCTTGAACTGCCACACTGAAGAAACCTTCAACAACTGGTGCGAGGATCTGTTTGCATCTGTTCTGTTTGGATCTGCCGTGAAATCATAGCCACAAAATCCAAACGCATACGAACAACATTGCAGTACGAGTATTGCAACAATATTGGAACAATACTGCAGCAACAGTATTGGAACAACAACAACATTGCAGCAACAATGTTGGAACAATATTGCAGCAGTATTAGTACGGGAACAATATTGCATTACGAGTATAGATGTACTACGCTGGAAAACGGAAACTGTCCCGAAATGCGCAAGGTGGCAGCAACCGTAAAAATGTTTGCTAGATACGTTTCAGAGATTCGTTTCCGTAGACAATTGTGCTCGAAAGCCTTTAGCAATTTCATAGGTTTTAAATTTTGTTGTTGCTTCAAAACAATTAGCCTTAAAAAGTATTTCCAGACTATTGGAATGACGTAATGTTTAATTAAGATTGCCGTTTTCGGCAAAAAGTGAATGATTTCATCGTTAGGGCACAATTGATGCTAATAGCATGCCGTATAATTATACATATTTCAAAGATGTCTGTCAACTCTGCGCGTTATATTTTAACTGCCGATGCGTGGTACAAGCCGGATTTCCAAATGGCTGCGTAAAGAAGCAGCAAAAGTACAAATTTACGAGGTACCCTAAATGCAATACCATGGAGCGCCTCGCCATGCGATCTTGGCGATTCAAGTATTTGGAAAAGTTAATACAGTAAAATCTGCGTACTTTGAACACAGCAAATACTAATTTAGTCATATCTATATTCATGTGATTATTCTTCTGTAACAAATTACAATATTTACTTCTTTTGTGATGCTGAAATTGTTCTTAATTTTGCCATTTTGACAACAATTGTAGCGTAGAGGCTATCACTTTAAGCGGCAACACCGCGTTTATTGCGCAGTACAGACTGTACCCTTACCTTGACGCAGCCCATTTCAAATGCGGCTTGTACATTTTTGTTCTCGGTACCTACGACATTATTGCCCTGTTTGCATACCGTCGGCATTTGCTTCTTCTCCCATACCGGACACGGTCGACAGCGGCCATCCCAACCCGGTAGATGATTAGCAGAATGCCGAATACCAGGCCTGCAGCGATACCGAGCAGACCAATGGCTATCAGTCCGCCGATGATGACGGCTTCCACAGTAACCGTCAGCAAAGGTGGTGCGCCGCTGAGTAGCACCAGCATTCCGCTCCACACCAGAAAGAACCAATCCACCGCCGGCGAATACGACGCTGCAAAACTGACCAGCAGCGGAGCGTTACTAGAGTTGGATACCCTAAGTTCATCGTAGGCCAAAGCCACCCAGTATGATAGCATTGCCGTGTTTTGGCCGATATTCTGAAATCGAATAACATGTTTTGTCGAGAACCTTTCCATCTAGCCATCAGTCGTATGTGCTCTATTCGTTACAAATTTACGTGTCCAAAATCAACCAAGTTGGTAATGATGTTGTACATTCATTAAGTAAATTGGCAGCGTTAAACGGATTTGTCGAAACGCTAATCAAGCTGTTATTCGCGCTAAATTTTGCAGTGAAGAAGTAGTTTTTGATTGTCAAAAATATTCGTACCGTACCTGCATTTGTTTATGATCCACACCAAATAGCATCCCGTCATCCACACTCCCCATATGCGACCGATGCAATGCACTCCCAGAAGAACCATCAGCAGGACACAGCTCGGGAATGCGGCTCATCTCCCGCAATGCGCACGATGACCGTGACAATAAATCCGGCGGCTGTGACAATCGGCAGAGCGCAGAAGATCAGCCAAAACACAAGAAAGCCCAACAAACACAAGACTCCCAGGATTAGATGGAGAAATAAAAACGGAAACCAGGAGGTATTGTGGCGGTTTGTGTCATAGCGAGAAAACGCCGTAATGCGTTGGCAGAAAGGGAGATGCTTCGTAAACCTCGAGAATTTCCAGTTACGATTGGCGTAGAGGACAAAACCGACAGACACGCCCAAGATGGCCGTTGTGCAGATGGCAGCGAAGATGGCCACGTAGCCACAATGGCACGTGGTGGGCTGACGCTGGTCACGGGTTCGCCTTGCTTGGCGATCGCGGGAGTTGACTGTTTCCAGCTAGCGACCATTCTATCCCAGAAACATCCACTTTGGCCCTAAGCAGTTTCAATTAGTTATGCTTTCTAGTTGTGGCTTTATTCGAACAATCAATACCGCAAATGGTATTAGAAGGTGATACTTCTACGCTCTTTTAAATAAATCGATAATATCTTAACGACGATTATTATTTCAGAGAAACGTGTGTTCAAAAGCACCAAAATGTGGATTTCTAAAAAACTTATGTTATTCAAGAATCTGTATAATTCTTACAATTATGGCATATGAAACGCCATGATCGAAACCAGTCAGTATGTTAGGATCGACACGGGTTGGTTGCCATTCAGGAAAAATGTGTGTTCCCAGATTAACGGAGATTGACAGCCAATCCAGTGAACAAGGAGGGCTTCCACCATGATTTCTTGATATAGCCACGCATGGCCCTTATCCAGGCGCTTTCTGAACGTTCTTCGATGCTTCTCCATTATGACCAGTTAGAGAGTAATGGAAGAATTTCAGAGGAACACAGTTAAATAGCGGATCTAATCTAGATTAAACGCACGTTGGAATTATTGCTCACACATGCCGAACCTTCCGGCATGACGGATCGGCACGTTTGAGTTATCTAATTGTAAGTGCGTCATTCAGAGGTAAGGCTGCGCTTGTAGACTGGATGTATGAAAGTGAGACATTCAGTCAAAACATGCCCACTTTAAGGCAAATTTTTACGATTCGGCATCGTTGACTCATCCATGCAGCCTGCAGCAGTTTTAAATGGCGTACGCAGTTTCATCTCTGGAATATCTGAACTAGGACTTCCTAAATCTAGGTCTTGTTAAAAATAACTTCTACCGTTATTGCAAACCGTCATTAATAAGTTAGAACACTAGCGGAGCGACTTCTTGTTAGGACAATAATAAAGTTTGAAACCAATTAATTAATTTCAGTACTTACTGTACTAATTTACATAAATAATTCGTCATGTAGATCTGTTGACTACTGTGAAATAGTCAACAAATGTACATAGTACTACTTTTTGCGTAGTAGCGTGCAAAAAGTTAGTGACCTTTACTTGCATGCAAATTACTTAAGTACTCTGTACTCGTTAAAATTTTCAGTTTTTGCGTTCCTTATAACAGTGCTCCCCGTAACGTATGATACGTATAATGTGCCGTAAGCGCTTGTAGCCGGCAGATATATTGGCCTGTTGACTGTTGGCGAGCCCGACAGGAAAGTGGTTTTTCTCCCATAAATCTGCCGAACAGCTCCCACATTTCTGCCGACCCCACCATATGCATTGTCTATGGGAACTCCAACATATCAGCCGAACCGGCACAACAGTGAAATTTGATACTTATATTGAGCGCGAGCGGGCAATAATAACCTGGCCGGGTTGCATTATGTACACCATACAGCCGCCAAAGTATATTGTACCGGCACTACACAGAGAAAAACACACGATTTCTCTTGCGCCGTGTCTAATCTTTGCAGGAGAGCGTTTCTGCCGAGTGTCGATTCATGCACAGACATTACCGCAAAACTATAGTAAATTATCGATAAATTAATTATTTTTTCTACAGTAAATAACCATTTTTTTTATGCCTACAATCTATGGATGGTGTAAATTATCACTGGACATTGTGACTTAAAAATTATCTCGTACTTCTTCCGGCAGTAGTGACTGTACAAAGGAAAAGGAGTAATTTTGGGCCTGCCCCGATGAAACTGTAAACGAAAGAAAAAAGTTTACTTAAAACAGTTACTTACAAAGCGTTACTATAAAATTTTCAACATATAGAGTAGGCAACATATTATCAGTTTAATTGACAATGTCCTGCAAACTTCGTGCATCCAGATCAAAAAGTATTTTGGACACAAGGACCAATAAATCTGCCGACCTGCACCCACAATTCTGACGACCCGAACATATGCATTGCCTATGGGAACTCCAATATATCGGCCGACGAGAACAGAAGTGAAACCCGATACCACTGTCGATCGCTAGGGTAGCCGATGTACTAATGTCTGCTAAATGAGTCTATACGTCCTTGTCGGACACAACAACAGAATAAACAGATATTACAACAGAATAAGCAGATAAACAGCTTAGCGCTCTTCCGGCGAAAGTATTCGGCAATTTTTTGGACGACCAAACATTTCGCATTTCCGTTGGCCTATGGCTGGGTGCTAAATTGCCGAGGGCCATTCGTGTACCAGATGTGGAAAAGATGTAGCAGAAAACGGTTACCATGGGCTTGACTGTAAGAAGTGCATCGGAAGAAGGGAGCGCCATAACGGTATAAACGACATCATACTGCGGGCCCTCTGCAATGCCGGAATCGAGTCGTATCCAGAGCCTGTGGGTTTTATGCGAGAGAATCGAAACGATCGGACGGAGCCACACGTTGGAAATGGTACCGCGGACAGCCGTTAGTGTGGGACGTGACGCAGAGACACGATGTGCGATTCTACATTGATGCAACTTCGCGTGGGTCCCGCCGCCGAACTGTTTTGCCGGGAGAAGATTGGAAAATATGTCGCTTACTGATCGCTGCAATTTTGTCCCTTTGCATGTGAGACTTTTGGCACTTGGTGCGAGACCGGCATTGTTACGTTAAAAGATTGAAAGAAGTTTTTTAAGGACGGGCGAGAGCCGCTCTACTTGTTTTTTGTTTCAGCGTTTAAGTTTGGAAATAATGCGTGGGAATGCCATGAGTGTGTTATGTGAACCCTTCGTGCCAACTGGCACAAATTTTTCATTTGAATGTATTTCTGTGAGCGATGCTCGTTCCATACATATTGCAAATAATGTATACAACAGATACTATAGCAAATATTAGGTATGTCCATAGTGATACTTGGACGTATAACTCGTAAACAAGTCCGAGTTATTTAATTAAAGAAACGGCATAATATGATCATGATTCTATAGTTGAATCTATGAACGGTATATGCAGCATATAGACAGTTAGGAAGATCGCCGCAGATAATTTGTTTAAGCGCAAATAAGTACAATAACTGAAGCAGTGATGTTTGACAACGAACTCATTAAATTTTGTGTTGCAACAAAATAAATACATACAATGAACAAGTTTCATTTATATACTGGATCAGAGTCAGCGATAATATTAATTTTTGAATAGCACGGGTATTGTAATGGCTGTTTCTTCATAAGAACTTGGACATTAAATTGCTATTACGGGAGTATATATACCTTTCTATTGCGTGCGATACTGTAATTTCCTTACGCCGTGCTTGCACAAGTGTTGCCTGCCGTTTGGTGCCAGCAAAGCGACAAAAGGACATCGTTCTTGTAATCCATACCGGTTCTCATTATCCATAGACACTATTAGACAGTACATAGGGTCCAGTCGTCAGGCCTATTAACGCAGTTCGGCAAATCTATTGGGGTTCCCGTAGATACAGGGCAATATCCCGTCGTCAGAGCTATTGGTGTTGTTCGCGATATCTATTGCTGGTAATGTTATATCCAAAACGAATGACAACTTTCGAAATCATCGTTTTAGCTCCACAATGCCCTGTTGTAATACTAAAAATTTATTAGCAAACTTTTCAAAGGATATCAGATAATAAATGCAGCCTCCACAATTACATAATACTTTGTATAATAAAAATTTTGCAGATAAACAACAACTACTTGCAAGTGCTTTGAAAAAACTGCCATAAAACTCACCAATGTTCATTTTTTTTTGTTTCGACTGGTGGATTCTCAATTTACGTAGCAGAAATTGTTGCGACTTGTAAATTATTGTAGTTCTAAATTCTTTAATAATTGCCGTAAAACAGCAGTACCGTAACTCGGTGCGTGGGCTGATAATTTCTGCGGTGAGTTGGTTATAAAGCACATAAACTGCCAAATAAGTCAATACATGCAGCCACGGTTAAGTTGATTATATCTACAAAGGGAATTTGTTTCAGTCAATAATTATCCGCTAATTGATCAGCAGCAAATTATAACTCATATCTGCACATATCCATACCGATAGGGAATTTTACGGAGCGCGGGCCATCCTCTAACTTTTTATTTTATTAACCTGGAAATTCATAAGATATTTTTTGCAGACCTATAATTTGGTGTTTGTTTACATCAAAGCTAACTGGGCATCGGAGACCTTTTGCCATGAGTTTTCAGCTGCATAAACCAGCCACTACACAAAACATTCAAATCCCCACTTTTTCAAACATTTTTTTATTCCCTCGGAAATGACAGACCGAATTTCATTTAATGTGCTCTGTGTATAATCAACTTTTCGAATGTGCAGCATTAAAATATTTGAAACCTGTTGAGATGTTACGATATCCCCGCTGGTACAATATCCCTATCATGATAATTATCATCATTATGTGAAGCTGCAGGATTCCCGGACAGTACAAGCCGGTCTGCACTCATCAGTGACATCGAGTTTCACTGTTGTACCGGTTCGGCAGATATATTGGAGTTCCCATAAGTAATGCCTTGGGTCGGGTCGGCAGGAATATTGGCGCAGTTTGGCAGTTCTATTGGTCGTTGTGTGAAATTACTTTTTAATTTTGGGTGCAAAATTGTATACATCACCACTTACCAGTTAATTAAACTGACACTATGTTGCC